TAGTAATTACATAAAACGCAGCATTTCATTTATTTTCGCCCGTATTTGGATATGCAGTGCCACTTTCCAAAATATAAATCTAAAAATGTTAAAATGTAATATAGAGGTTAGAAGGAAAGCAAAGGCTGCCGTGACTATTATGACAGTAAAGGCCTGCACAATCGGACAGAATCCAACAAACTTGCTAAAAAGAAGTGGGTGGGAATATGTATGCCAAGATTCTTGTAAAAACAGTTTTACGTTGCGGGCCGAAGCGGGACGGCAAAAAATCTTTATGCCCATGCAGGCCCCTAAGTGACACTAAAAACAAAGCCAAAACGAAAAAGTGATAAAAGCTGAATGTTTTTGCAGATGAAACTGCTTGGGATTCTGTCCTCTATGCATTTCCTATTTACTCAAAAAAAAACTATAAAAAGTCCTTTGTCCATTTATTCTAAAAAAAAAAAAAAAGAAAAAAAAAAAAGACAATTTATTATATTAAAATTCTAAAAAAGATGACTGTTTCTAGTTCAATTTTTAAATGGAAACACTTAATCGTGTTAATAATTTTTATCGCTTTCGTTACGATTTGTAGCGGTTCTGGCCACGTGATTAAAAAACGACAAGCTACAGCAGGTAAAAGTCCACAAGTTCCATCACCACAACCACAAGTACCTCAACAGGCATCGAAAGCACCACAAGCACAAGAACCACCGGCTCAATCACAGGCACCACCGGCACAAGCACCACCGGCACAATCACAGGCACCACCGGCACAATCACAGGCACAACCAGCTCAACAACCACCATCTCAACAAACACAGCCAGCTCAACCAGCTCAACCACCAGCTCAACAATCACAACCAGCTCAGCAAACACAACCATCTCCGCAAGGGCAAACACAGCCAGCTCAACCAGCTCAGTCACAGCCGGGACCACAAGGACAAGGACAAACACAACCAGGTCCACAACCAGCTCAAACACAAGCACAAGGAGGTACTCACCAGTCTGCAAACGGTAATGATCAAAAAAGTACATCATTATCGTTTGTAGTTAATGATTTCACATTTAATTCTTGTACTGACACATTAAAATGTTCAAAAGAAAACATTGGGACTACTGACAAACATATACCTTCAACAACAGCGCCAAAAGTGACCAGTGAATTAACTACAACCTATGATGTTTGTACCAACAATCCCAATTGTAAAGTTGTCCCGCTGACTCCTGGGTAAGGATCTTTAAGGATCTTTATAAATATTTTTATTACTGTTTTTATTAACGTTTATTAATACGTTATTATTATTATCGTTTATTATTATTATTATTATCGATATTGTGACTATCTATTCTTAATGATTATTTATAAACAAAGTCAATCAGCAAAAATGGTTACGACTACTCAACCGGCGGAAACTAATATTGTCACTTTACCACCAGCAAACGGTGCATCACCTAAACCTAACGCAAAATATACAACAACTAAATTTACCTCAACTATATATCAAGTATATCCAGGTTATTCAACAATTACCTCATCAACAGGTTCAGATGGACAAGTAGCAACATATGAGACCTATGTTCCACCAAGTACAGTTGTTGTATTAAAAGAAGTTACTGGTGTTCAAGAAGCTGATGCATTAAGTACTGATGGAATTGTTGGTGGTGGAAATAGTTTTAATGAAATGAGAAGATCTGGATCTGGACTATTGGGTATTATTATGAGTTTGTGGGTGGTTGCGATTACCTTATTTTATATGATTAAAAATGTAGATTAAAACAATTCTTAATTATATACATATATGTTTAAAAAAATATTATCTAAGATCTATATTGATCGTTATATATTAATTTATTACTTTAGTTTGGCTCTATATATGTAGAGTGTCTAGTAATAGTAGCATTTTATAATGATCTATCATTATTAAGAGAATAAAATAAAAAAATAATAATATAATAATATTATTACGTTCTTTTCTTTAAGTTCGAAGATCTTGAATCTTGATGCAATTTCAATCATTCGGGCATGTAATACTGTAATACTGTAATTTTTGTGCATGATTCTACATAACACTGAAACACTGCATTCAATGCATTATCTGATATCAAGAAATAATTAATTTCTTATTGGCCGTTGTGATCCTTTGCCAAGGAATGTTTGAAATTATTGTTTATTAAATATGATCTTCTGTAGAATATATATATATATCATCTTGGCTGAAATTAAAATTTGGGCCAAAGTTACAATAGTAATAGTAAATATATACAATAGGTATATTGTTTATAATGTACAGTCATACCTGGGTTACATTTTCACGAGCTATATTCCCATCTCAGTTACTGTATATTTTTCATATTTAGGTAAAATAAAAATCTTTGTTGATATTTTACGTACAGATTTACTTATGTCCCAATCTTAGTAATATCCTCCCAAAGGGGTGGGATAATTGCTATATACAAATCTAAATTTAGTTATTTGCATTTACGTACGATAATTACTTTTCCATAATTTATTTTGACTAGGAATCTTTTTATATTATGAAAAAAAAAGTAAGAAATTTTATTGTATCAGGTGATACCATCAGCTGAGAGAACAATATGAACTTAAATACGGTTTAGTGTGTGACACTTGTAGAGAATCCCTGGTCAATGACGTTAACTATACCTGTTTATTGTTAAAAATAGGGAATATTATAATCATAAAAACTCAATAACATCGTGATCACCGATAACACTATGTCAATCTTCTGAAAAATAGTGGAATTAACAATAAGTACAAATCTCTTATTGTTCAAGACAATAATACTATTTTTGTTGAATTTAGACTAACTGAATATGGTCAATATATAGTAGACATGGTAATCATTTGGACTATGTCCACTAATACCATTGAGGCACAGCTTAAAAGTCCATTGCTACTTGTCGTCAATGTCACTAATAAACGATGAGATAATTCCCAATGGTTCATATATAAAATGCAAAGCTCCCTATACTTACGCCGCCTGAATCTGTATTTGTTATATATGTATGGTAGAAATCAGGGACACGGGGATTATGTGATTTAGTGTGATTTAGTGTGTTTTAAATTCGTTGATAGCTATCAGTTACACAA